CCCGCCACGCCTGCCGGCCAGCTCGCCTCGCCGTCAAGCATTCGTGCGCCGTCCCCCATGGGCCCATCCGGCGCAACAGCGAGCCCTGGTATGACCAACAAGCCGCGCCCGCGTCAGTCGAGTCTTGCACTCAGCGCCTCGGGTCGTCCAGACTCACGCTCGGGCCCCGTGCCTCCCAGCTTCCAGCAAGCAGGTCCGCAAGGCTTGATGGCGCCCCCGCCAGCGCCGGGTCAGATGCCGCCAGGCATGCCTCCAGGTATGGGCATGCCGCCCGGAATGATGCCGGGTGCTCAAGGCGGCCAGATGCCGCCAGGCTTCCCAGGCAGCGGCCCGCCTCAGATGGTGCCCGACGTCAAGCAGCAAGCTAGGCGTCCGTCCATGGTCCAAGAGAATCCTCCGATGGCGGGCATTGCGGACAAGAGGAGGCCGTCCATGGCAGATGCTCGCGGCGTGCCCGGCCCTGTGTTGGACAGCGTCGCAGCAACCACACCGGACCCCGCCGTGCTGGCGGCAGCCAGCGCCGCTACAGCACAGCCATCCGCGCAGTCCCAGCTCATCGGCAGCTTTGGCGCAGGCGCGGCAACGCCCAAATCCCGCAAAGGATCGCAAGTCGCGACGGGTGAGACACCGGCTGGCCCGAACGTCGAGGCGGTCGCGACGCCACCCGGTGCATCCAGGGCTGGCGAGCCGCCCGCGCTTCCGGATGTGTCTGCGATGACCGGCAAACCCACGACACTGGCCGGGCCGCCTCCTCCTTTCGTTCAAAGCGTGCCCTCGAATCTCACCGGCCAGCCCATGCTTGTTGGAGGGCCTGCACCCAAGGAGTCTGCGGTCGGAACGGCCGTCACGCACTTCAACACGCGCGTCACCAAGTTGGATGAGCGCATGCGACCGCAGCGCGCTGCGGACGGCAAGGACGAAGCCGCATCGGCCGACGACCAAGTGTGGACGCAGCTCACGGCGGAGCAGGAGGAGGAGCTGGTGAGCATCATGAAGCGCGATCTCGAGTACGAGAAGCTCTCGCGCGCGCAGCAGCAGCAGATGGAGCAGTCGCTCAAGGACCACATCGACAGCGTGCGCCCGCCGAGGAGAAAGGCCACCGACGGCACGATCACCAAGCCCAAGCCGCTGGCGTGGTGGGAGCGGCCCGAGGAGGAGGATACGTCGGGTCTGTCGCGCGACGTCTTCAAGCCGTTCGGCGTGCTGTTCCCCAACCAGAAGCGCGCCGAGCTCGACCAGGGCCAGCGTGGCGCACGGCCGCACATCCCGCTCAAGCGCTCGCTCATGGAGTCGGTGTCGCAGCAGGGCGAGGATCTGGTGCCCATCCGACTCGAAATCGACCACGAGCACTGGAAGCTGCGCGACACGTTTACGTGGAACGCGCAGGACGCGCACATCAACGTCGAGGCGTTTGCACAGTCGATCTGCGAAGACATTGGGCTGCCGACGAGCGTGTTTGTGCCGCAGATCAAGGAGCAGATCACCATGCAGATCCTCGACCACCAGACGACGAGCGCGTTCAAGGCCAGGCCCACGTTCGACTTTATGGGCGACGGCAAGGAGGGCCAGGGTGCGCTCGAGGACGAGGACGTGCGTTGGTGGTCCAAGTGGCGTCGCCGGGTGGAGTCGCTGCCGTTCGGCAAGCCGAGTGCTGGTGCGCAGAACGGCGATGGCGGCGACGGCGATGTGGCGATGCGCGTGAGCGAGAATAGCGAGGACGACGATGCGCAGTCGGAGCCTGCCGAGATCGTGGATACGACGCCAGCGGAAGAGCTGCGCATGATGATCAAGCTCGACATTACGGTAGGCAGCATGAACCTCATCGACCAGTTCGAGTGGGACGCCAACGAGTCGGATCCGGCGGCGGCCGAGAAGTTTGCCGAGACGTTTGCGGCGGACCTGGGACTGTCGGGCGAGTTCAAGACGGCGATCGCGCATTCGATCCGCGAACAGGTGTCGGTGCACGTCAAGTCGCTGGCGCTGACGGGCCACACGTTTGACGGCAAGCCCATCGCGGACGAGGAGCTGCGTGCGGCGTTCCTGGGCCCGGTGAGCAAGGCGAATGTGTCGCGCAACGAGCTCGAGTCGTACAACTTTACGCCGCGGCTGCTGCAGCTCACCGAGTCGGAGATCGAGCGGCTGGACCGCGAGCGCGAGCGCGAGGCGAGGCGCAAGCGCCGACAGACGCGCGGGCGGCGCGGCATCAACCTGCCGGACCGCGATCCGCAAAAGACGCAGCGCACGCCGGCGGTGTACGGCATCCAGACGGCGCAGACCGACTCGGCGTCGGCGCTGCAAAATGCCAACGGGCTCGGCGATCGATACGGCGGAATGTCGACGCGACGCGCCGCGGCTGCCGCGGCCAATGCGTCGATCGCGCCGTCGCAGGCCAACGAGCTGGGCACTCCCACACCGGGCCCTGACGCACTGGGGCTGCCGGAGCGCAAGAAGCCCAAGGTGAACCACCATGCGATCCACTTTGACTTTCCCGGCGGCTTTGGACGCAAGTCGGATCCCGGTGGACCGAAGTTCGCGCCGGCGTATGCGGAGGAGGAGGCGAAGAAGCGCGCGCGCTCGCCCGAAAACCAGGCGACGGGCGCGCAGGCGGAGAAGGCGGCGCCGAAGCTGGTGTCGCTGTCGTACGCGCAGCGCAACAATGTGCGACCGGAGGATCTGGAGCGCCAGCATCCCAACTTCCACGACGGCATGTGGCACTGCTCCAACTGCGGCATCCCGGGGACGCTCGCGCCGGGCCGAAGGAAGGGGCCGTTGGGCGACAAGTCGCTGTGCGGGCCGTGCGGCAAGTACTACCACCGCCACCGCAAGGTGATCATGCTCGAGTACACGCGCGATCCGGTGGTGCACATGAAGCAGCAGCAGGCGCTGAACCGCAAGATGGGCGTGTCGAATCCGCTCATCGACACGGCGCTGCTGAACGCGCTGGGCGAGCAGGAGGACTCGACGGAGCCGACGAGTGCGGCTGACACGCCCAAGCCCGACGGCGGCGCGGGTGCGGGCGACGAGGCGGGTGGGGTGGATGGAAATGGCGTTAGAAGGCGAGGAAGGCCGCCGGCATCGTCGAGGGGGGTTAGTAGGGGCGATGGAGGCGAGAGGTCGGACGAGGAGGATCTGCCGTTCGAGATGGTGGGTAGTCCGGACGACAGCGATTCGTCGTCGCGCTCGAGCAGTGCCGAGCCGACGGCACGCACCCGGAAATCGGCGTCGCAGCCGGTGGGTGGTGACGAGGCGGCGCCGGCGCGGCGTACGGCGGCGGAGAACGCGCGCGAGAAGG